ACAAATATAACAGGGCAGAGGAAATGTTTTCTTCCTCTCCTACCCTTCTCAGGCTAGTTGAACTTGCTGTTATATTTAATTCATTTTTACATAAAATGGGAAATATGATCACAAAAGAGGAGCTGATGTTTCACTGTCAAACCAGGTGCGTGAAAGTGAGGAAGATGAAGGTGGTCCAGGACCGCACACGGAGACAGATTTATAAGTGCCTAAGTTCCTGCTCCACTTTAAAGAAATCCAAACTGGAGACAGTGAATGACATATTAAGGATGTGCTCTGCACGAAAGGGCTCCACAACTGGCAGATCCACACTCCAGGAAAAGTCCCCGCTCTTCAGACAAGGGGAAAATGCCCCTCCCTGCAAAGGGCCTTGGCTCTGCATCAGCAGTTGGCACCTAACTGTACATCTGTAAGCTCTAAAATAAAAGGATTATGATTTGTATGTTTTTACAGATTCCTGGGGGTAACCAACTTCTTACACTAACAACTCCTGCTGGAAGAGAATATTGTCTCTCCGGGGCTGTGTCTGGAACTCTGCACTAGAACTCTTCAGAACACCCAGGTTTGAGAGTCACTGAACTGAGCACTAGGAACACAACTGCCCCAGGCGGTCATATTGTTCTGCCTGAGGGTACCTATCAAATGCTTAGAAAGGGGTGGGGGAGGCTGTACATCTGTGAGCCTCAAAGGTCCACTCCCCTTTGGTTAGATTCTTAGCTTCTGCACCTTCTCTGTGTGAGCAGGCTTCACCTTGTGAGCAGTAAGTACATGACACATGTGGAAGCATCTAGTGTGAGACCAGTTATACAGGAGGTGCCAACAAGTGTTGGTTTCAATTAGGACCCTTTTTGACCAAATCCACACACAACTGCTTGTTTTGGCTTCAAACCTCCCAGCCTTTCAAGTGGACATTTCCTGTTGTGTCCCTCTGGGCACTGGTCTCCTGACCTCTTCACCTTCCCCGAGGTTGAGTTCTAATTTCAGCATCTAAATAATATGTTGATTTGGCACTTAAGCATCCCTGATAATCACAGAGAGAAAAGGGAGCTGGATCATCTGTTCCATATTCTTACTGAGAGGAAATCACACTCCAGCTCCTCAGAAGCAGCTAGGTTTTTCTGGACACTTCCGGAGCTTCCTTTGGTTGAAATGCTTGTGGGAGAGGAAGGTGTGCGAAGGTATTTCCTACTCAAGTCTGTTGTCTTTGGCTTGAAATCCAGAAGCCAACCCTCCATGGTAACACGGATAGGTTTATACCTACTTTTTTTAAAGTTTGCTGATAGCATTTTCTTAAATTTCATACTCGTGGAGTATGATCCATTATACATTTCAATTCATGGAAGAACAAAGTCATGATGATCCAGTTTTTAAAGGCAATTGCTTCTTTTGTAGAACGAATTCATTAGGTAATTTAAAAAACAAGAAATCATCATTAATTTACTAATAAAGAAGACAGCTGCACCATCTAAATTTTAAAATGTCTTACATATCTGAGTGAAGCAATGTATTCATCTTTTAAACTCTTGTTTCCTACATAAAGTAGTTGGAAACCAAATACACATATGGCTATTCCATAAAAGTAATTGTGTGTGTGTTAAATTGCTCCAGAAACATTCACTCTTTGGGTTAACAGATATTCAAGTATCTGTTGTTTTCAGTGGCAAAAATATTCCTCAAACACACATGATTAATATTTTGAATGGGAGATGGTTCATTTCCTAATGACTCCACCAGTATCTGTTCCAATTAGTTTTAGGAAAACAAATCGGTTTTCTTATGCAGCTCTAAAATTAATCTGGAAAATAAAAACAAGCAACTGCTTTAAGAATTTATAAGTGTGGACCAAGAACCTAACAGAGATTCAGTAGGGCTTCTTTTTATTCAGGAGAGATGCTCCCTGAGGGGACACAGGAGTGGCTTTCTGGAATGTCTGTGTTCCAGCCCAGGTACCTTGTCACCTCCAACAGCACTTGTTACTCTCACTCTCCCTCCCATTTACTCTGAGCCAGCGATGGGGCCACAGAGGACTCGTCACAACCCTGTCTGCAGCGAGCACCCACTCTACTGGAATCACCCCCTCCACAAACACGTGCAGAGAACCCACTACGCGGCAGGACCATTCTGGACACAGTTAATTAAGACTTAGTCCCAGCACAACAAAACCCCTTCTAGTGGAGAAAACAAGAAAAGCACGTCCCTGCACAGGGAAGGGTGGGGAAGGGACCTAGGAATCCAGCCGAGGGTCTGCAGGTGGCCAGGCTGAGACGCGACTTGCTCTGCCACTACGTTTCTTTCAGGAGGGACACGCTAAGGGGGGTGTTGTGGGAGGAGGCTCCGCTCTCTTCCTTGCTAATCCACAAGCCTGGTTTAGATCAAGGCCATCAGGATGTCACTCAACACTGTTCTTAAGATGTCCCTGAGTGGCTTCTGTGTTTCCTCCAAGGAGTGATGAAATTCTCAGCAGTATACAGGACTCAGGGCTGTCTGTGACCAACAACCAGGCAGAAGCAAGCAAGAGGAATAAGGAGACCAGCGGCTTCTGGACAAAGACGGTCATGAGGGCCTTGGAAATACTGTGTCACTCCTAACTCCACAGGATGGGATGAAATCACGCCAGATCCTACGCCTGCATGGCCCTCATGGTTAACCACAGCCACCCTTACAGACGTTTTTAAAAAGGAACTCACCAAATCCCAATTTAAACAGACACCGTTACCCTCTTTATGTACGAAATATAAAGGATGAAGGATTTTGGTGGGTGTGTCACACGTGGTGGAAGCAGATGTGGGAGCTCAGGAGGGACGCAGTTCATGATGAGATAATGGACACACGTGAGGGAACGGGAGAAGGACCACGCTAGAAGTGGTGACCGATCAAAGCTGGACTTCCGGGGTCACAGCAAAGGACTAGGGTTCTTAACCCCGCTGGGGCAAAGTTTTGAAAATCATGGTCCTTGCCACCCCATCCAACAAAATGTACAGATGCACAGATTTTGTGGATAATGAAGGGGCCCACACGTCTCCTGAAGCCTTCTATAAAAAAATGCCCCAGGACTATGGCTTCCTTAGTCAGCAAACTTCTTGTGCAAGAGCCAGGCGGTTAATTTTTCTGGCTTTGTGGGCTACACGGCCTCTGTCACAATGACTCAACTCTGCCCCTGTAGCTGGAAAGCAGCCACAGATGGTGAGTGAGTGAATGTCACTGTCTTCCAATAAAGCTGTATGGATGGACACAGAAATCTCAATTGCTTACATTTTCACATGTTAGTAAAAATTCCTCTTTTATCTTTTTTTCAAACATTAGAAAATGTAAAAACCATTCTTAGCTTGTGGCCATACAATACCAGGCAGTAGCTGGTCTGGCCCCTGCCCCATCCCTGCTTGCCGGGCCCTAAGTCATCACACAGGTGTAGACGTTTGTCTGTCCAGGGGAGGTAGCAAGAAGTGACGGTAAGACACTGGACTGAGATATATGCTCTGATCCCCTCCCTGGCTTCAGGTCTCCCCACGAACACCACATTCTCTCCGGACTCGACTTCCCTATCTGTAAAAGACGGCATGCTATGAGATGATTCACAAAGTCCCTTCTACCTCCTGGGTTCTACAGTCCTTCACGTACAACTGAGAGAGGTACAACTGTACCTGTGAGCAGGGGAACGGTATGGGAAGTCAAGCCTGTAAACATGCTCACTCATTCCAGGTGAAGGCAAAACTGTGAAGCAGGGAGAGGCGCAGCACTTGGAACACGTGTGCATCTGGAAATCTCCAGCAAGTGACTGTTCCCTGACGAAAAGGAACCCCAGACTTCAGTTTACACTCCTCTTCCTTGCCATACAAGGGCCTAAGCCAAGATGAAAACTTGCTGACTGCTCCACAGAAAGAATAATGTCTTGGGTGAACACTTAAGAAAACAGCTCCCCAAACCAACACCATTTTATTTTATTCTCTGTTGTTCTACTGAGCTTGGGTTGAGAGACAATGACAAGACTGCAACACAGAGGGCAAGGAGAGAACAGGGCCCAGGAGGAGGCCCCGGAGTCAGACAGGGAATCAGAGCTCACTGCCCAGAGCCAACATGGAGAGATGAGGCCAGAGGGCAGCTGAGGGCTGCTCAGACCCAGCAGCACATCTGCCACCTATGGCAATGGGGGCACTGGGCTGGTCAGTGGGCAATACCCCCGTCTAAGAGTTACAGAAAATGGATGGGAGCTGGCAAGAGACAGAGAGACCTATTAGAAAACTGTGGCAGGTAAGAAATCACTGGGGCCTACAGTAAGGCAGAGCCAGTGGGCTTGGAAGAGAGAAATATGCAACAGAATTCTATAAAAACTGGTGGCTGGTGAGGTGTGGGCAGGTGAGGAGAAGGAAGCATCTATGTGGACTCCCAGGTGCACTGTCTTAGGAGATGGGCAGGTCACTGTGCAACCAGCGAAGCTGCGGAGTCCAGGGGCAGGGCAGGTATGAAGGTAAAAGAGAGCACCACCCATGTTGCACGGACCCTACTCTGAGAAAAGAAGCAATGGGATGCGAACAGCTGATCATCACGGAGAAACAGATCAGACCCACGCAGGCTCTACTGGGTTGATGGCACCCTCACTGAGAGACATTTCTGGTTATTCAGTGGGTGAGCAAAAGAAGGCTCAGGACTTCTAAGTCAGCAAGGGCCAGACTTGGAAAAAATTACCAACCAGAGCCTGCTGAGAGTGGGACACTGTTTAAAGCAAGTCAGCGTGGTGGCACAGTTGTGGACGACAGATTAAACAGACAGCTGGTGCTGGCTGAAAAGAGAAATGCCCACGTCTTCAAGTAAGAAGGGAGCAGCTGGCACCACTTCTCGAAGGCTCCCAAGGACACCTCTGAGGATTCCCCAGACCCACACTGGCACAAGGCCTGCTCTCTGGAGCAGGTCCTGCACCCCTATGGGACCACCACGAGCGTGCCTAATCATAGCCTAGACCACCTGCAGCGATGCCACCTCCTGGGCAGCTGGGTGGGACTCACCTTTGCCATTAACGGTGAGGCCCGTGGCCATGGCTGCAGTCACAGGGCCAGGCACCTGAGGCACTAGAGGGTGGATTCGGGGCCTGCTCCCCATCCTGGCTCGCTCAGCGCCGGGACCCAGCAGAGCTCCGACTGGCTTCTCTGCTGCCACTTCTGGTGCCACCGTGTCCTCCTGACCCTGCTCGAGAGGGTCCAGTTTCTCGGGGCTCTCGCTCTGAAAGCCATCCACTGCGGTCCTGCTCTTAATGGGGCTCTTAGGCACGAGGATCTTGATACCTGACTTCGCTAGGTCCATATTCTTCCGGCCTGAGAGAGATGGAGCTGTGTTTTTTCTGAACTTCTGGCTGGCAGCAAACAATTGGCTGTTTTTGGAGTCGTGGTCTTTGCCAATCACTAGTGATTTAGGAGAAGAGGTCTTAGAAAAGCTGCTGTTGGTGGACCTGGAAATTTGTTTCCTGGCATTGTTTGGAGAGGTCCGGTTTGTTCTGTTTAGTGTGCTTTCTTTCTGCTTTTCCGTGTGGCGCCTGTTAAAGTCATGGATGTACTCCTCACAGTTCACCAGGTGCTGCTCTGGTTCCCAAGTATCATCCTCGCTGTCATAGCCTTTCCACCGAACCAAGTACTCTGTCTTCCCTTTTTTGTTTTTCCTTTTGTCAACAATCCTTTCAACCTGTTTATAAAAGAAAAGAAAAAAGTTTTTTTAAAAAATCAAACTTGTTTGAAAAAAAGTACAAGAGTAATAAGGAAACATCAAGCATAATAAAAACCACAAGATAATGAAAATTATCTTCTCCTCCCCAAGCCCAATTATCTGAAGATAAAATATAAGAGAACACTTGGGATTTTAGCAATTTCCCTGAAATTAAGTCAAACAAAATGCTAGAATGTTGTGCTCAGAATATATAGATGTGCATTCAGTAGCTTATTCTGGGAAGACTCAAAGGGGCTCCTTTTTATTTCTGCACTGAACCTGACAACCTGAGTTGGCTTTCACACTCACGACTGGAGCAATCCTGGTCATCTGCAGCCTGGTGCCCTGTCATCCTGCGGTGACCAGCTGCAGACACGCAAGCAACAGAATGACTGTGGTGACGGCAACAAACTATGAGGGACTAACATGTGCCTGTGGTGTGGTGGAACTGGCTCGCTGAAGAAACATATGCCCTACAAGTGTTACTCAATTCAGGTCAGCAGAGAACATAATAGTTTATTTAGTGTAATAAAGTGGCCTGGAAGGTCATTTACCTTCAAATTTTGGTTTTAATTGATTATGCTAACATCTTTAAAGAAAAATGCTGTTTATCTTTGAAGCTGATGATCAATACATCCTGTGTCAAATTTATAAATTCATACACCCTCACCCTGTAAGCATGTTGTCGTTACTGTGAAAAATTCTACTGCCTTGACAAGTGTGAATGAAAGGGAGATCTGCAACTCACATGAACAAAAGAATATTTGACATAATCACCCCCATATATTATCAGGAAAATATCTAGAATCTGTTGCTGCCTCTGCGTTTAACGTAAACCCATCAGCCAGCCTCCCTGGTGACAGCATACAAATCCCTATCTTGTGGGCAGAGGCCTATGGCTGTATAGCAGCTCTTTAGTTAAAAACACAAAGGCCTAAGCCATCGATTATGAAGGACATCAGCACACTTCTGCATAGTTACAGGTTAGGTCAGACAACATAATGATGTGCCTAGTTCTGTAACATTCCAAAATAACAGGGACTAATTGAATTACGACTCTAGACAATCTTGGAGAATATACTCCATGCCATCATTTCCTCTACTCTCAAAAAACCCAAAAAATTCTCCAATATATCTACTGATATATAGAGAGTTAAAGTACTTCACTAACGAACAGCCTAAGATTAAATACACATTATTGCTTCTGTGATAAAGGCTAGAAAGGCCTTGTTTCACCATCAGGCAGATGTTATGCCTAACAGATCTCCAGAGTCAAAAACTAATGCCAGATCAGCACATGCAAGTCCACACAGACCATAATATAGCAAGGAGAGCTTTTAAAGTGATTTTCCTTCACTCGTGAATAGTTATGAATAAGGGTGTATTTCAACTTAAGTAAATGATGTATTTCTTGAAAATTCCACAAAAATCAATTTCATGGCAGAAATAGATTAACAGTTTTTTTTTTTTTTTTTGTCTTTTTGTCTTTTTCCGTGTCCGGCAACGGATCGCAACCCTCAGTGTTGCCCCCGTACCGGACCGGGGACCGGCAACGGGATTGCAACCCTCAGTGTCGCTCCCGCACCTCGCCCAGCCAGTGAGCGGGAACCGGTCTGCATGTGGGATCCAAACCCTCGGGCAGGAGCGCCGCCGCGCTTCCCAAGCGGCGCACTATCCAGTGCGCCACCGGGCCCGGCCCCTCGTTCACAGGTCTTTAT